CCCCAGGGGGGATGGCCACACCGCAATCCCTTCTCCTCCATTCTCCTCTCGGGATCTTGGGCACGCACGCACACGCGCCCGGCGTGAGTTTTAAGCCGCCGGGTCTGGGACACGAACCAAGGTCGACTACGTGGGAGTCCAGCGACATAGCCATTACGCTAACTGCTGGTTCCCCACAGTTGTTTCTTTTGAGAACAAGAGTCCCCCATCTGTGGCCTATTGAGGGCATCTCCTAGAGTATTAACTTCCTAACTTTCCAGCCTGCCTCACATATAGGCCAAAAGATAGCCATCAGGACAGAAGATCACAGGTGCTTGCAGAGGACACTTTTGGCATGTACTGATGTAGTGGGTGTTGAAGGGATGTTCTCAGGACCTAGCACCATCTGCCACAGTCCCTATCTCCATGACCTCCTACAAAGAGGTACCATAATCTCCAACATACATACGAGAAAACAGAGGCTCTCTGGTGCTAATGGCCCAAGTCATAAACTTGATGAGCGCCAAGAGCTGTCTGGTTATATTTGTTTCCTTTTTGGTTTTTGCCAATAGGGCATATGCATTCGCCAGAGAGATGGTGAAAGGGAAAATGAGAAATCATTCCCTGGGGGTATGGCCATGCTGCAATCCCTTCTCCATTCTCCTCCTGAGACTTGGGGCATGCACACATACACACCTAATGTGATTTTCAAACCACCAGGTCAGGAACTCAAACCATGGTAGGCCAGGCGGGATTCCAACACTTTAACTATTATGCCACCTGCTGGCCCTAAGAATTGTCTGTTTTGTTCACTCTTTATCCCCAGACCCTAGCACATAACAAGCCCTCGACAAATGTTTAAATAAAGGAATGTCATACAGGGAATATGAATTGGTTGAATTAGGACTTGACAAGATCTTCTATCCCAAACCCATGTTCCTTCCACTATACTAGTAAGAATATATCAGTGTCTGCAGCCAGTGATGTGAGTGGCTAGAAGGAAGTATCTGAAACAGGTGTTGAATGAATGACAAATAGACGGACAAATGAACACATCTAATCTGTACCTTTATGTTCCATGTTTCTCTCCCTTACTCAGAAGTCCCAGAAAGATACCAGGACCAGATGGAAGAGAAGTTCTGCCCTGTACTGCCCTGGAAAAGTAAATATTTGAATGAAAAATTCACACAGATGCTACTTCTACACAGGCCTCACCCTAGGTACCACAAGCCGTTGGTCAGGGGAAGCTGGCATCACAGTATGGCAAAGAGGCAAGGACATTTGATTGAGATCACAGACTTATTTGGCTCAGGCCTGGGTACCCAGAAAGGACCACATATAGTCATACTGCAGGGGACTGCTGGGATTGGGAAGTCAACTCTGGCCAGCCAAGTGAGGGGAGCCTGGGAGGAAGGCCAGCTGTATAGGGACCGCTTCCAGCACATCTTCTACTTCAGCTGCAGAGAGCTGGCCCAATCCAAGATGATGAGCCTCATTGATCTCCTAAGAAAAGAAACAGGTGTCCATCCAGTTACCATTGAACAGATTCTGTCTCAGCCAGGTCAACTGCTCCTCATCTTTGATGGTTTGGATGAGCCAAAATGGGTCTTGGAAGAGCAGAGTCCTGACCTCTGTCTGCCCTGGAGCCAACCACAGCCAGTGCAGGCACTGCTGGGCAGTCTGCTAAGGAGAACCATCCTTCCCGAGGTTTCCTTGCTAATCACAGTCCGGACCACAGTTCTACAGAAATTCAGTCTTTCTTTGAAGCGGCCACGTTGGGTGGAGGTCCTAGGATTCTCTGAGTCAAGCAGGAAGGATTATTTCTACAAGTATTTCACAGATGAGAGCCAAGCCATCAGAGCCTTGAGCTTGGTTGAATCAAACCCAGCACTCTTGACCCTGTGCCTCACGCCCTTGGTGTCCTGGATGGTTTGCACTTGCCTGAAGGAGCAGATGGAGCGGGGGGAAGAGCCCACAGTGACCTCCCAGACCACCACAGCTCTCTTTCTGCACTACATTTCCCAGGCTCTGTCAGCTCAATCCCTGGGAACCCAACTGAGGGGCATCTGCTCTCTGGCTACTGAGGGCATCCTCCAAGGAAAGACCCTGTTCAGTTCAGGAGATTTCCGGAAGCATGGGTTAGATGAGGTCATTGTCTTCACTTTTTTGAAGATGGGTGTTCTTCAAACTAACACTCTCTCTCTGAGCTACAGCTTCACTCACCTTTTCCAGGAGTTCTTTGCAGCAATGTCCTGTGCCTTGGGGGATAAAAAGAAGAGAAGCAAACAGCCTAACAACATCAGTATAAAGAAGTTTCTAAAAGTATGCAGAATGCATGACTGGTTTGGAGCACCAACCATGCGCTTCCTATTTGGCCTTTTAAGTGAACAGGGCATGAGAGAGATGGAGAACATTTTCCACTGCCAGCTATCTCAAAAGAGGAAGTGGGAGCTACTGCGATGGGCCCAGGAAGAGGCCAAGGTCCAGCACCCCTTCCTCCAGCTTTATTTATTGTTATTCTTCCATTTGATCAGAGACAGACAGAGAGACAGAGAATGAGAACATATGCCACCAGGTCCAGGTCTCTAATTGCAGTCAGCCATGTGGGAGTCCAGTGCCTCAACCACCATGCCACTTGCCAGCCCCCAAAATGCAGATTATTAGGCTCACTGAAAATCTGCAATTTTTTGTATGTTTGTTTATATCTTCCATGAGAGAGGGAAACAGAGACATATAGGAAAGCTCCTCCAACAGGGTCTTTATGCCATAATTCACCTGAGTCTCAGCCAGCTCAGATCATGGGCACATGTGTCCATATACTCAAGGAAGGCCTTGCAAAGCATTGTGATTTACCAGTGCACCACTGTCTGGCCCCCACTAGTGACTTCTAACTGCCCAACCTGACTGCCCTTCTCCTTTCACCTAAGAGCCTCTACAAGATCCAACTATATGACAGGGCCCTGCTTGCTACTGGAGAGGCCTGCTGTGGCCCTGCATTGTACTGCCTCTGTTCCTACCTCTGTGTTTAGGCCCTGATGTCTTTCCCCATCACTTCAGAATGCATGTATCTTCAAGGGAGTCTATTTTTCCTTGCAACTGACTTTTCCTTTGTGTCAAGGATGCCACTGTTGCCCCAGGCATTCAACCTGAACCGCACCCTCTGAGAGTGACAGACCAGCTTTCTTTAACAATCTTCCAGCCTCAACAACCAGGTTCCCTTCTCTCTGTGAAAGTATTAATCGTACAGTATTGGCATATTCCTATCTCTCCCTTTAGATGGCTCATTTCATAAATACTTACTAAGTACTAACGTCATGCTAAGTCCTACAGATCACAGCCTCGACAACCAGGTTCCCTTCTCTCTGTGAAAGTATTAATCGTACAGTATTGGCATATTTCTCTCTCTCCCTTTAGATGGCTCATTTCATAAATACTTATTAAGTACTAATTTTACACTAAGCCCTACAGATCACAGATTTTAAAAACTCTGTCACCTAATGGTTAGTGTAGCTGGATCCTACATGGCCAATTACATATTAACTCTTGGCCCTGATGGCTCAAAAACATGCTGGCCACATAGGCACATGTGCCCAAAATCTCAATGGGAAAGAGAAATGGAGAAGATACTAGTGCGACCATGTCCTACTAGGTTTTCTCTCTCTTCTTCTACCTCCCTCTCTCTCTCTTGGGTCTCTGTTTCTCTCTAGGCTGCCCATGTACTGGCAATTAATTTTTTTTTTTTGAAACACAAATCCTTTCCAAAGGATTTTATACATTCAATCACTGTATATCATTACAGCTTGCAAAATGAATTTTTCCCAGCATGAATACACTTTATATTAGTCCCGTTAAAGATATTATTATACACATTATCATCATGGATCATTTTCCATTTTTGTGTCCCTTAAATGTTTTGCTTTTCTTTTCTTCTTGATTCTCTTCCTCTCACCCTACTCTATTTCCTACCCTCCTCCCACACTGTCACTAGTATCCACATTGTTCTCCCTGCTTTATATCTTCTGATCTTTTTGTTTGGGCCATGGAGTGCAGACATTCAGTTTATATTAAGTGAGGACATACATTGTCTCTGTCTGGGGCATGGAGTGCAGACATTCGGTTTATATTAAGTGAGGACATACATTGTCTCTCTTTCATAATCTGGTTTGCTCCACTTTGCAGCAAATCTTCCATATTTGCCCACTTTCTGTCAAATGCCAGGGTCTTCTTAATTTTTTTGTCTGAGTAGTATCCCGTAGGGTAGCTTTTTAAATTCATTCATCTGTTTTTGGACATTTGGGTTGGTTCTATGCCTTAGCAATTGTGAATAATGCCACAATAAACATGAATGTGCAAGTACTTTTCTTAGTGTATTCCCATCCTTCAGGTAGATACCCAGGAGTGGAATTGCTGTATCATATGGTAGTTCTACTTATAGGTCCCTGAGGAACCTTCAAATTGTTCTCCACAGTAGCTGTACTAATTTACATTCCCACCGAGAATGTAGGAAAGTTCCCTTTCTCCACAGTCTGCCAGCACTTACCATTTTTTTTACTTTTTTAATCTTAGCCATTCTGACTGGGGTTAGATGGTATCTCACTGTGGTTTTGTTCACATTTCCCTTACAATAAGGGATGTTGAGCATTTTTTCATATGCTTTTTGGCTGTTCATATGTCTTCCTTAGAGAGTTGCCTTTTCAGCTCATTTCTCCATCTTTTAATTGGGTTGATTATGTTTTTTCGGGTAAGTTGTTTTAACTCCCTGTATATTCTGGTTATCAGTCCCTTATACGAGGCATAGTTTACAAATATATTCTCCCATTCCAAGGGTTGTAAATTCACTGTAATTATTGTTTCTTTTCCTGACTGGAAGCTTTTTCACCTGATGTAATCCCACTTGTCCATTTGAGGGATTATTGCCTGTACATTAGGGGCCTTATTTAAGAATTAATAAGTCTTTGCCTAACTCAATGTCTCTCAGAGTTTCTTCAGTATTTTCCACCAGGAGATTTATAGTTTGAGGCCTTAGGTTTAGATCTTTGATCCATTTTGAGTTGATTTTTGTTAATTGTGAGAGACAGGGACCCAGTTTCTTCTTTTTACAGATGGAGACCCAGTTTTTCCAGCACCACTTGCTAAAGAGATTTTCTTTTACCCACAAGATTGACTGGTACTCTTTGTCAAAAATCAGTTGGCTGTATATTTTGGGGTTTATTTCTGGGATCTATATTCTGTTCCATTAGTCCACATGCCTGTTTTTGTGCCAATATCATTAAGTATTGAGGTATATCCTTCTAGTCTTTTTTCTATGCATATTTACATGGAAAAGTTAAAACACACTGCACATTTTATTTTAGTCGGTTTTATTTTATTAATATATTAAGGCTTTTTTTCATGTTATTAAGTAGTCTCATGCCACACCATTTTAAATGACCCCATGATATTCCATAGGGAATGTGCCATGACTGATTTGACCATTCACTTATTCTTGTCTATGTTAGGCTGCTTCTATTAATAATTATTCATGTCTATAAATGCGAATATGTCTTAAAGAACCTGGTGTAGGTATTACAGGTGGCAGAGGCCTGACATGGGGACTTCAAAAGAGTTCTGAGCAGGCACAGAGATAGAGGCAAGATGGGGAGCAAAGAACCAAGGAAACCAGGCCACAGAGACTTTGAAATAAATGGGGAAAAAATAAAATAAAATTAAAAAATTTTTAATGGAGCCTGGAGAGAATTCTACGCAAAGGCAGAGGCCTCAGCTGCTAGTGGGAAAGGAAATTTTAAAAGCACTGAGTCAGTCACACAAGGCAGGCAGAACAGTAAGAAGGCCACTGTAAACAAACAAAAAAGTCCAGGAAGAAATAAAGACTGACCAACGGCTATAGGAACGAAAAGGAGAACCAACCAACCAACCAACCAACCAGAGATATTAAAGAAATAAAGGTGGCTATTTGGGCAATTCTGCATATTTGGTTCATAATTAAACACTGCGTATTTTGAATAAAAAGCTTTTAATTTTTCTTTCAGTCCTCCCAAATTGGATGGCAAACATTGATAGAAATGAAAAGTAAAAATTTATTATTCAAATTTCACAGAACTAAATAAATGTAAAAATAATTAAAATAATTAAGCTTTCAAATGACAGCATTTTGGGACTAGACCATAGTCTAGTGGTTAAGGGAACAAGATCCTACATGACTGATGATGATTCAAATCCCAGCCCCAGTGACTTGGAAAATGTATTGGCTCATGTGTGTATGTGCCCCAATTCCTGACAAGATGAAGAAATGGAGGAGAAAGGATTATGGCATGACCATGCCCTATTAAAAGAATGTTTTTTCCCTCTTTCTGTCTCTCTTTCTCTCTCTAATGAGTATTTGCATCCTCAGCAATTAAAAAAGGGGGGACTCGAATGATGGTTGTGGAATGTACTTGTTGCATTTGTTTCTGAAGTTGTTAAAGCTTAAAACTACATTAGGACTTTGGGATATTCTGTAATATCTTTTAATCTTCAGCAAAACTCTCCATAGCAGATGCTATTGTTGTCCTCTTTCTGTAGCTGAAAAGACTTGAGTGAGGCATAGAGATTTGGAACTCAGATGGAGTCACTTACCTGACTCCAGAACCTCTGCTCCTCACCTCGGCATGGCTCTGCAGACTTGAGGGGACAGATGATTTAACTCTAGGGACATACTGGGACCTATTAGGTGAAGTAGTTACTGGGGTGATTAAGTGGAGATTCTGGTAAGAAAATAGGAATCTTAGTCTGAAACTTGGGAAAATATATTGAGTTTTTGAAGCTCCAGAAGTAAATGAGATCCCTAACATAGTGTGTGTGAAACAAGGAAACTGAAATGTTCTGCAAATGTTCTCTCCTAAGACATTCTCCCTTTGCCATCTCACCTCTGTTGATCCTCTTTATGGTCCTGCTATCCTTGGAAGAGGATAAAATCTCATGCATGTCAACCTGGGTAGTAGTGTATGTGATCATATACTACATTACCATCACAAAGTCATCCTCCAAATCATCCAAGGCTCTGTTCCAACCTCTCATCCCCTCTTTTCCTTTCTGGTTCTGGAACTCCAGAATGACTGCACCAAAGAAATACAGGTATGTCGGGATCAGCAGTTAGCATAATGGCTATGTTGCTGGACTCACATGTAGTCAACCACGGTTTGCGTCCCGGACCCAGTGGCTTAAAACTCATGCCGGGTGCATGTGCATGCGTGCCCAAGATCCTGAGAGGAGAATGAAGGAGAAGGGATTGCGGTGTGTCCATCCCCCCTGGCGGGTGATTTCTCGCTTCCTGTCTCTCTGTCTCTCTCTGTCTGGCTGGCGAGTGCACACACCCTATAGCGAAAACTCTTAAAAAAAGAAAGAAAGAAAGAAAGAAAGAAAGAAAGAAAGAAAGAAAGAAAGAAAGAAAGAAAGACAGAGAAAGAAAGAAAGAAAGAAAGAAAGAAAGAAAGAAAGAAAGAAAGAAAGAAAGAAAGAAAGAAAGAAAGAAAGAAAGAAAGAAAGAAAGAAGAGTATGTCTGCATCAAAGGAAGAAAGGCTACCCAAATTACCAAGCTCCTCCTCTACATCATCCCTATGCTGGGCACTTCAGATTAAAAAGATGATAACTACCTGCCCCTGCCCTTAAAGAACTCCCTGGCTGAAGGAGAAATAGACACAAAATGAACACATCAGGATTCAGTGACAATAACACAGGTGTAGCGCACCACTGAGCAAAATTGGACCCACATGGAAAGGGCGCCTAGGTTTGGATCCTAGGCCAACCTGAACACACTGGGCATTCACTGTCATAGTACACCAAACAAACAAACAAACAAACAAGCAAGCAAGCAAGCAAGCAAAAAATAAAAAAAAAAATTTAATGGATAAAAAAAAAAACTATAAAAAATAAAAAAAAAAATTTAATGGATACACCAGTACACTATGGTAAGGTCTGTGTAATAAGGAGTCACACAGAAGGGGCACCTACCCAGGGTGGTAAGGGCACAAGGGCAAACAGGGAGGCTAGCCAGCCCTAGGGATAGTACTGCTTGTTACAACCTAGTACTCAAGGGAATAGAACACCATTATGTTGTACAGGACTGTGCTCCTCAGGCACACACACACACACACACACACACACACACACACAGATTACATCTCCCCTGTTCTTCTTTCCCTCTCTCAGGCTCATGCGGTTCCAAGTCACAGATGCCTGTTGGCAGATTCTCTTCTCCAATCTTGGGGACACCAGGAGCCTGAAGGAACTGGACCTAAGTGGAAACTTGCTGAGCTACTTTGCTGTGAAGACTCTTTGTGAGATGCTGAGATGCCCTTGCTGCCACCTGGAGACCTTGAGGTGAGTCTGGCAGAAATTCTGCTCTGAAGCTGGGATGGCAGGAGATCCAAGGCAGAGGCTGAGACTGTGATGATGGATTGATCTTTGTATTCACCGAATATTCACTGAATCCCTCTCTGGCCATGCACTGACAAGTGCCAGGGTTACTATGCACTGACAGGGGATGGATGAACTAATGATGAATTAAAAAAACACAGGCAGGATTCCTTTCCCACAGAGTTTTCAGAAGACTAGCATTCATCGAGGAACCATACTAACATATATAAAAGTAGGCCCACATAAGGGCCTTCCTTGAGGTTTTAAAGAGATTGGAAGAATACAGAGGATAAAATAATTGGAGAGGTGGAGGGACATTCCAAACAGAGGGAGTAGCATATATATATACGGACAAGATAGTCAAGAGATTGAAAGCAGACTGGTGTAGCTGAAAGGCAGAAAGCAAAAAGAAGAGATCAGCAGGAGAGCATGCAAGGCCTTGTAGGCCATGTTGGGATTTAGAGTCTTTTCCTAATGCAATGGGATTTTAAGTAACAAATTGAGAAGATCAGCATGTTTTTAAAATAGAAACAGGTTATATTTTTAAAATGGATTGGAAGGGTGCAAAAGTGGAGGTTGAGAAACCAGTCAGTAGAAAATTTGCAGTAGTTCCTATAAAGATGGTGATAAACTGGACTAAGGAAAATTATAGTTGCTTCAGTAAGACACAATAATACCTTGGACTATGACACTGGCAATGGAGATAAAAAGAAGTGGATGGATTCAAGAGACCTATAAAAGTAAAATCAACTGGATTCAGAACAAATTTTGGGAGAAAGTGAGAGAGAAAGATTGAGGATACTTTGGCACCTTCACCAAGATGGAGAATACCGAAAGAGAAGTGATTAGGGAATAGGATGTCATAAGTGTGATCTTGTGCTTGCTGGCTTCAAGTTTCTTTGAGGGCTCCCCATTTCAGAGACCAGAGTCTGTGTAAGTCTTTCCTCACCAACCTCAGCTTCCAGACTCTAAAAGCTAAGAAGGACAGGCAAATTTCAGGTCCTTTCAGGAGGCATCTACATCTGTCCCATTTCAAGGATCAGGGTCAGCCAAAACCTTTCTTCTCTAACCTCACCTCCCAGACCCAAAAAGTGAGAAAGGACAGGGTAATTGCAGATCCTTTCAGAAGGTATCTACATCTGAGGCTTGCCTCCACATTTCAGGGACCAGGGTCAGCCCAAGTCTTTCTTCTCTAACCTCACCTTCCAGACACAAAAAGTTAGACAGTCTCCACCCATGAAGTGTCTAGACAGGTCCAGGTGCACAGTAGCCAAACATGTGAATACTGGGAGGCTCAGAGAAATCCTTGACCCCCACTGAACCTGCTGCACAAAGGGAGAAATGTCTTCATAAATCTGAACTCAAATCTCCTTCTGTGGATACCATGTTGCAAAACACTGTAGAAGAGAGAGATTGGCACAAAAGTACCTATCTCACAGTAAAAGGAAATGAGCATATTAACAAGCAGGAAATCAGTTAAGACAGGTGAACAGAACTTAGCATCCAGGAAGGATGTGGGCTCCACAAAGCAGCCATCTGGGAAGTAGGCCCTCAGCTGTGAGATATGGCAGGTGGAAAGCACAGAGTCCTGTCTGCATGGGAAATCTGCCAGTTGGACCTCTGGCTTTCTTGGGCCATACTCTGAAGCTCAGGTTTGGGAGCAGAGAAAGAAATTGTCCATGGAGACACAAAACCAAGGACACTGTAAAATATGAACATTCTAAGTGCCCCTCCTCCTCTCACCAGTTGCAAGACCCAACTCTGGGCCCCAGAGTGGGTGGAAAAGTTAAGGCAGACATCTCCCCTTTCCATGGGCCTCTCATCCAAACCTTCAGCAGATGGCAGACACCAATCCCTTCCTGCAGAGTAATGCAAGGATGCACTACGTATCTGGATTAGCAGTGTGAGAGAAACTGGCCTGCACCAAAGCACCAATGTGCCATGACCTTTCCAGCCCAACGTAGGATAGCTACCACGATGTTCTACTCCAAGATGCCCCACTCTGACCCTCTCTATGCCTGTTGCAGGTCCCCACTAGGGATAGGAGATTACAAGAGTCACTGTGCTGAGGGGAAAGCTGAGTGGGGGGCCCATAATACCAGGAGGTAGAGAAGCCAGTGAATAAGAACTCTGCCTGTATAGGGAGGGAAGTAACAGGGGATGGGATCACATGAGTTGCTTTACTATTCTTTCAGACTTCCTTATAAAACACAAATTCAAAGATAAAATTAAGAAAGTCAAGATGGTGGCCATAGAACATTATTTAATCCAAATCATTGGCCCTTCTGACCATCTAGCCCTGTGCTACTGCCTCCTCCAGCATCTATTTTCTCAGAAAGTGGCAGCAACTTCAACCACTAAGGCTCAGGAGGAAGCTCATCCACACGTGGCCTGAGAAAGTGACTTCAGGGACCAGCAGTTAGCGTAATGGCTATGTCGCTGAACTCCCATGTAGTCGACTGTGGTTCGAGTCAGGGACTCGGTGGCTTAAACTCGCGCCAGGCGCGTGTGTGTGCGTGCCCAGGATCCTGAGAGAATGGAGAAGAAGGGATTGCGGTGTGGCCATCCCCCCTAGGGGGTGATTTCTCACTTTCTGTCTCTCTGTCTCTCTCTGTCTTTCTGGCGAGCACACGTGCCCTGTAGCAAAAACCTCTCCAAAAAAAAGAAATGACTTCAAGACTCCAGATGCAGCAAAAGTCTTACACCAGTGTGCAAGCACTTTTCAAGCCTCAATATGAGCCACATTTGCTGTTGTCCCACTGGTCAAAATAGGTCCCATGATGGCAAAACCCAGATTCTAGGGATAGAGAAATAGACTCTAGTTCTTGTTGGAAGGACGCTACCAAGGAGCATGGATGCAGAGGGGAAACTTTTGGCCATTTTCACAGTTCACCACCAAGGGTGATGATAATAGTACCAACTTGATGGAACTGTGTAAGGATTAATGAATAAAGTGCTTAAAGCAGTGTTTGTTAGTACTCTCCTGTCCAGGTGCATGAGCGTGCATGCCCAAAATCCTGACAAGATGGAGAAATGGAGAAGAGCTTGTAGCATGACCACCCCCATTGCGGGTGATTTCTCCCTCTTCTCTCACGATCTCTCTGTCTCTCTTTGGCCAGTTTACAAGCCCTCTGTCAATTGAAAAGAAAAGAAAAGAAAAAAGAAAAGAAAAAACAAAGAGAAAAATAAAAGAGAAAAGAAAAGGGGGGGGGAGGGAAGTCAGAAGAAAGGAAAAAGGATCCTGTAGACCAGTATAAGGACCTGAATTTTACTGAGTAATATGGAAAACATCAGGTGGGTTTGGTCAGATATATCCAAAAACTGACTTAATATTATTTGGGGTTTTTTTCTGTTTTTTTTTTTTCTTTGCTATAGGGCACATGCACTCTCCAGACAGACAGAGAGAGACAGAGAGACAGAAAGGGAGAAATCACTCCCCAGAGGGGATGGCCACACCGCAATCCCTTCTCTCTCATTCTCCTCTCGGGATCTTGGGCACGCACTCACATGCACCCAGTGTGAGTTTAAGCCACCGGGTCCGGGACTCAAACCGCGGTCGACTACGTGGGAGTCCAGCGACATAGCCATTATGCTAACTGCTAGTCCCAATATTATTTGTTTCTATTTCTGCCTCCCGAAACCCCAGGTATTTGGGGGACCTAGAGGAATTCCTACTGACCTCCACCTGGCCTGCAGCAGGTGGTTCAGTGAGTGCTCATGGGTGTTTGCTGAATCAACAGGTGAGTAAACCCAAGCCCATGGATATGTGTCTCCCACAGGTTGGCTGGCTGTGGCCTCACAGCTGAGTGCTGCAAAGACCTTGCCTTTGGGCTGAATACCAGCCAGACCCTGACTGAGCTGGAGGTGAGCTTCAACATGCTAACAGATGCCGGAGCCAAGCACCTTTGCCACGGATTGAGACAGCCGAGCTGCAAGCTACAGAGAATACAGTAATTGCTCCATTTCAATAGACTTTGTGGGATGGGCATAGGGAGGTGGAAGGAGCTGCCTACTACCACGGGGAAGATTGAAGGAAGGGGTACTGCAGAGGCTCAGGAGTAAGCTCATCCACACCTGGCCTGTGGAGTGGCCTCAGGGTTCCAAATGAAACAGAAGCCCGTTCCAGTGTGCAAACACTTCTCAAGCCCAGATTAAGTCATCTTTCCTCTAAACCCATTGGTTAAAGTGGGTCCCAAGATGGCCAAGCCCAGATTCTAGGAATAAAGAAAGAGAATCTAAGGACCAGCAGTTGGTGTAATGGCTATGTCGCTGGACTCCCATGTAGTTGACCGCAGTTTGAGTCCCAGACCTGGTGCCTTAAACTCACACTGGGTGCATGTGCATACATGCCCAAGATCCCGAGAGGAGAATGGAGGAGAAGAAATTTCAGCATGGTCATCCCCCCTGGGGGTGATTTCTCACTTTCTGTCTCTGTATTTCTGGTGAGTGCACATGCCCTATAGCAAAAACCTCGAAAGAAAGAAAGAAAGAAAGAAAGAGAGAGAGAGAGAATCTAAATCTTGATCATGTAAGGGCACCATCAAGGGACATGGATGCAAAGTGGGATTAAGGGGAGAATGTGTGGCCATTTTCACAGTTCACCACACGGAGTGGCAAAAATAGTACCAATTTGATAGAAACTGTGTGAGGATTAATGGGTAAAATGCTCAGAAAAGTATTTGCTATTATTCTCCTCTCACCAGCTGTGGCCTGCCTAGGAATAGGGCTTGGCCTAGGAATCGGTTATGAAGAGCTGAACTCACTGGTGTGGTCTGTACTGAATTCAGTCTTTTACTTCTCTCTTCACCAGAAAGGACAGAGCCATGCCTTCTACCATATAGAAACAAGAGTGGCTTGTTCATCTCTCCCTGTTTGCCCTGGTCCCCCTCCCCTGGTACGCAAAGTTGTAAACGTGTACACATGGGCATGCGCACACACACTCTGTTCACCCCCTCATAGTCCTGAGACATCCTCATTCTCTCCTCTAGCCCTACCTTGCTCTTCCTTCCTTTTTCCCAAGGCCAAACCTCTCCCCTTCTCAGGGCCATCGTCTGTTTCCCCACCCAGTAACCTTTTTTTTTTGGAGAGGTTTTTGTTTGTTTGTTTGTTTTTTGTTACAGGGCGCATGTGCTCTCCAGACAGACAGACAGAAAACGAGAAATCACCCCCCAGGGGGGATGGCCATGCCGCAATCCCTTCTCCTCCATTCTCCTCTTGGGATCTTGGGCACGCACGCACAAGCGCCCTGCGTGAGTTTAAGCCACTGGGTCCGGGACTCGAACTGCGGTTGACTACATGGGAGTCCAGCGACATAGCCATTACACCAACTGCTGGTCCCCCCCACCCAGTAATCTTGACGAAGAAGTTGATGGGGCAGAGGGACAGGAAAGGGAGCCACCTGGGACACATTTCCAATATCAGGGGCCAGTGATCCTGAAAGGAGAGAAACTCTGTCACACCTATAATGCTAAATCCTCTCTACAGCTATGATGACAAAATTGAGTCTCAGAGAGGTTACTTGATTTCCAAGGTCACCTATCGAGAAAGCAGGTAGCACCAGGATTAGAATCTGGGTCTGATGTCAAAGCCTGGTTTTCCAGTTTCCCAGCTGCTACTCTTAGCCAAGCACCTATAAGTGCTACGAGACATGCTGCCAGCTTGGTCTGCAGATGACATTCTGAGTGTGCTGCTGGGAGATGAGCAGTCCCGCTGTGAAAGCCAACGTGATAGAAGCAGAATGAGACCCCAAAGGCAGAGGATCCCCTGACTGGAAACCCTCAGAGAAAGCCTACACATGTACGAAAGCACATACACTGCCCTTTGCATAAATGATAGCACATCACAAACACAGCCCTGGACCTTGCTTCATTATTTAAAGTATATCCTGGAGATGGCCCCACAAAGTGGTTTCATTGTTTTGTTGGCAGCATGGAACTTCAATACAGGGATTTACCATCAGTGTTTTCATTAGTGCCATTTATGGGCATCTGGATTATTTCCAGTCTTGGCCACTATAAATAGTGCTGCAGCTTACATCCTGATGTTAAGCCTGAGACAATGAGCATCCTAAGACAGTATATTACCTGTAGCCTAAATTCCAAGAAGTAGAATTATTGGGTAAAAGGTATGTGAATTGCAAATTTTCTCTCAAAAAAAGTTGTACAAGTTGTACTAATTGGGCCAGCCCTATTGCCTAGTGGCTAAGAGAACTGTGTCCCACATGACAGAGCAGTGCAAGTATCAATTCTGGTGGCCTGAGAAACACACCAGCACAAGTGTGGGCATGCCCAGGGTCCTGACAGGATGGAAAGATGGAGGAAAAGGGATTATGGCATGATCATGTCCCATTGTGAGGGGGAGAAGGTTCTTTGTCTCCCTTTCCCTCTCATGCTCTGCCCCTCTCTGGTGAGTGCACACACCTTCTGGCTATGAAAGAAAGAAAGAAAGAAAGAAGAAAGAAAGAAAGAAAGAAAGAAAGAAAGAAAGAAAGAAAGAAAGAAAGAAAGAAAGAAAGAAAGAAAGAAAGAAAGAAAGAAAGAAAGAAAGGAAGGAAGGAAGGAAGGAAGGGAGGAAGGAAGGGAAGGAAGAAAGAAGGAAGGAAGAAAGAGAGAGAGAGAGAGAGAAAGAGAGAAAGAAAGAGAGAAAAGGAAAGGAAAGGAAAGGAAAGGAAAGGAAAGGAAAGAAAGGAAAGAAAGAAAAGAAAGAAAAGAAAGAAAAGAAAGAAAAGAAAGAAAGAAAGGAAGAAAGGAAGGAAAGAAAAGTAAGCAAATAAAAAGATTGTACTAATCAAGGAGTACATTGCTTACTAAGATTAAGTGGGTCCCAATTAACCTCCTTCTTTCTCTCTCAGGCCCACAATAGGCCAAGCTACCCTGACCTTTCCACAGGGCCAGCTCTCCACCTAGATAAGCCACGTCAGGCCAAGAGCCCAGCACTGCTCAGCACAACACCTGGGGGACAACCATGGCCCTGTCCTGGGACAGCACATATTCCAGACCTTCATATGTCGTGGAGAACACCGGTCCTCAACTCCAGCTGAAGCCACTACACTCCTCCTCCACTTTTGCTTTATTGGGAACTCACTCATTTCTCTCTTGGCCTATAATACTGAAACCTGCCAAGGCATTCTAAGGTTGACACCTCTGGTGTTTACAGTGCCAATGTGGTTAATGGTTAGAGCCAGGTAGATTATTTGGACTAGGTTGAGATGGCATGTGGGCAGGATTCATACGAGTCTCACTGGGAGTGAGAAAGAAGGGCTGCCTACATCCTGAAAGATGCTTGGCTGCAAGAGAAAAATTAAAATCTCCCTGCTTAATGCAAGCCAAGAAAGGTTTATCTTCCACTAATGTCATCCCAGGACCCTCAAGTAGCCATAGCTACTAAAAAGAGACCAGACCCCAGTTACCCAGAGGAGCAAGCTCTCAGGACAATGACTGTAGCCTGTGTTCATCTCTCCTGTAGGCTGGTCAGCTGTGGCCTCACGTCCAGCTGCTGCCAGAACCTAGCTACTGTGCTCAGTGCCAACCCCAACCTGACTGAGATGGACCTGCTTCACAACTGCCTGGGTGACCTCGGTGTGGGGCTGCTCAGTGAGGGGCTGAAACATCCTGCCTGCCAACTCACACTCCTATGGTAAGGCCCTGGGGTCCCTTCTGGGCAGAGGGCAAGGATGGGTAGGGTGGTAGGTGGCAGGGGATTGGACAAGGGAAGGAAAAAGTATGAATAAGTCCATAATCAGCCCAGGTTCCTTACCAATTCTACTCCTTTCTCATGCTGCATGATTGGAACAAGTCACTGTCTTCTCTAAGATTCAGTTTCTTCATCTGTGTAATGAGAATATCGTGTCCACCTCACGGACTGTAATGAAATAAAGTATGGAAAACCAAGGGCAGTGCTGGGAAATAGCCATGATCAAATTATAACTATAGTGAAGCTGTATGTTCTAAGAGGACTCCAAGGTTCCCTTCTTCACTCTGGGGCAGTGCTGTGTTTATTCATTCATTCATTAACACACCGTATTCTGGGGTCAGAAGATGGCATAATGGTTACGTCACTGGACTCCCACGTAGTTGACCCCAGTTTGAGTTTCAGACCCAGTGGCTTAAAATTCACCACAGGCACATGTGTGTGCGTGCCCAAAATCCTAAGAGGAGCATGGAGGAGAAGGGACTGTGGCATGGCCATCCCCCCTGGGAGGTAATTTCTCACTTTCTATCTCTCTCTGTCTCTCAGATGAGCACACACACCCTATAGCAAAAACCTCTCTAAAACAACAACACCATATGCCTCCATGGGTGAGAAACTGGGCTAAGTCATGGAGAAGACAACACTGAAGAGACAGACGCAGGCTCTGTCCTCCTGAAGATTGCACTCTGGGGGAACCAGCAGTTAGCGTAATGGCTATGTCGCTGGACTCCCACGTAGTCGACCGCGGTTCGTGTCCCAGACCCGGTGGCTTAAAACTCACGCCGGGCGCGTGTGCGTGCGTGCCCAAGATCCCGGGAGGAGAATGGAGGAGAAGGGATTGCGGCGTGACCATCCCCCCTGGGGGGTGATTTCTCGCTTTCTGTCTGTATGTCTCTCTCTGTCTGTCTGGCGAGCGCACGCGCCCTATAGTGAAAAGAAAAAAAAAACTCTCAAAAAAAAAAGATTGCACTCTGGTAGGAAAGACATAGATGTTGGTCACATATTAACACACGAATATGTACTTAGGTGCTCCTTAAGTGTTGTGAAGGACAAGCACAGGGTATTATGTGGGTGTAATGTCAGGGAAGGATGAAATTAGACTGAAGGGCCAGGGAGGGCCTCTCTTAGGAAGTGACATCAGACTGTGGCCTGAAGGATAAATAGGCACTGGCCAGGACACACTGGGAGAGCAGTCCAGGCCAAGGAGAGTGTGGGAAGGCCCTGGAGCAGGAAGGGCCCTGTGAGGCTGGCATGGACTACCCACAGACCTCATTCCCCATCCTGTAGGGTCTGAAGATCATGTCTCTCATTGAGTGTCCACCCCCACACCATCTCTGGGTCACTTCTTTGCTCTGCCTCTCTGAATTCAATCTCATGGGCTGTTTCTGGCTAAATGCTTTCCTACGGCTCCTGGCCACGGCCCCACAAATCAGAGAACTGACCGAGCCTCTTTGCCACATCCAGCACCCACCAGTCCTACTCTGTGGCTCTGACTGGCTCCCAAACCAAGCAGGTCTGGGAAACTTGGGCCCTGGGCTTTTCTCAGCCAAGTCTCCAACTTTTAATCCCCGAACTAAGGGGAATAAACAGTCTACTCTTGGGTCTTCAGCAGCTGAAATGCTTTTTACACCAAGACTACTCTGTCCTAGGGCCTGGCACCTTCACAGCTCTCCCAGCCCACTCCCTACCAAGTTGGGTTTTGTTAGTTTAGTTTTTTTTCTTTTATAGCCAAAGGGTATGTATGCTTGCCAGAGAAAGTACCCCCAATGGGGCATGGTAATGCCACAATCACTTTTCCTCCATTTCTCCATCCCATCAGGATTTGGGGTACACAAGTACACCTGTGAGTATGTTTTTGAAAATATGGGGGCCAGGATTCAAGCCATGGTCTACCATGTGGGATCCAGCTTCCAATGCACAATGTTTAACCACTGTACTGCTGAGCCAGACTAAGAACATTTTTAACTCTTAGTATCTCTCCTCTGTTGGAGACCATACCCAGAGCACGGCTTCTGTGGGCAGATCTGGATTCAGGCTTCCACTCAACAGGGCCTGGTCAAACCTTGGCCCTCCAAGGAGTGTGGCTCACTAAAGTCTTTTGAAAGTTTCTGCCTCCTTCCTTCATAAAACCCCTGGACTTAGCAGAGAAGGACTGCCTTCTACTTTGAGGGCTCCATCCTCTCCCCAGGGGAAGAACAGCTCTGATAGCAATTACAGGTGAGGAAGATACGACCCTTCACAGGGTGCAGGATGGTTTAGTCCATGTTAGAGACTGAGGATGCAGAGGTCCAGAGAAGACAGTAATGATCCCAAATCCCATGGAAACTCTAAAACGTAAAGTCAGTGAGAAAGGAATCAGCTCTCTTTTTTCTAGAACTTCTAGCCTCTAGGAAGGAAATCTCAGGCCCCATGCACGAGGTGGTAATTTTAAGGTCATAGGGCAGGCTATTCTGTGACTATGAGGCTCTGCCCAGATTCCCACCAGAATGAAGAAATACCCCTGAGAACCACCTCACCCAAGGCCATGCCCACCCCTGGACCAGCCTGCATCCAGTGACTGACAAATGAAGGGGTATAATGGGTCAAACTCAAGCCAGCCTGATGGCCTAGTGGTTAAGGAAGCTGGATTACACAAGGTTGACCATGGGGTTCAAATCCTGGCCCCAGTGTCTTGAAAAACATGCCAAGTGTGTATGCGTTTGTGCCCAAACTCCTAATAGGATGGAAAACAAATGGTAGCATGATTATGATTATATATATATAGAATATATGCATTCATATATATATATATATATAATATACACACTCTT